AAACAACACCAGCAACCCCCGTGGTGGATGGAGCTCGATGGAACTTGGATGGTAACTCATCCAAAAAAAAATGAAAACTCAGAATTCAGAACCCGGAGATGGAGTCCCGTAGGTGGTATGATTACCGGTGGCTCCTGCTACTCGCCCCTGGTGCCAAGCTGAATCATCCACATGATGTTCCCTTGGTTTCACCAGATGAGTAGAGAGTGGGAGGGGGGGGTTACTTGACTAGGTGACCAGCTGCTTCTCCTAATAAAAATCCACTTTCTTGAAACGTCCATTTTCAGGTTTTTCTCTACCCTTATTATATTTTTATAACTAAATTTCCTCCAGCGGAGTCTACACCATCGTCTCTGGTCACTTTTGTGAAGGATGGGTTTTTTAAAAAAGAATGTCTGTAATCCTATAAATTGTTCATGAATAACTTTCAATCCCAGAGAAATTTATTAAATAGAGAATCTAAAAACACAGCTATGAATCAAATTATATATTATTATTCTCATTTCAGAGAAACCTGGTGCTGTGATACAGACAGATGCAACGTTGGAGGGGCAGCAACTCATGTTATCTTTACACATTTCCTTTTAGTGACGTCAGTCCTCGTGGCAACTTTGGCATTTTTAAATTAATTTTTAATTACACTCTTTTTTTTGGTTTAACCAACACATATTTAAACAAAAAAATATTTAGTGATTCAAACGTAAATGTCCAATGAATGTTCAGAGATTTCATTCAAACTATCGGTGGAACATAAAATTTGGAGGTTATGAAATGATACTGAACACAGAAAATTCCAATTTTAAAATCCTAAATAAAATGGACCTATTTCATCATGGCCCATTAAATTATATAAAGAAAAGTTCCCACAACATACCAGTTAATTATGCTTTGGCATAGTCCTTAACTAAAACTGACCTAAACAATAACAAATTCATTTAGTCGTTGTGAAAGATGCCCAGGAGATGTGCATCATTGGTTGTCTTCAGTTGTGGAAAAAAAAATTTCTTAAACATTCCAATACAATCCTTCAAATTTCAATTTATGATCTATTGTTTTCTGAAAGGAGTCCAAAACTTAATAATAAACTTATTTTCATCAATGCTCCCACCCACTACCCTCAAGTTATACTTCATAACCATTTACCTAAAAATGTCAATTGTCTTTAAAAGATACATTTTTTAACATTGCAAGAATTAAATGAAAATAACATTACATATTAATGTCACTTGCCTTACCGCTGAAGTTTTTAAAATACATACAATTTTGTTATTAAAAAAATTTATCCCAACAAAAATGAAAAAAAAAAAAAGAAAAAATTAAAACATAAAGATATAAAACAAAGATTTCATTCGTTTAAATGCTTTTTTAAATCTTATTTTTCAAAAGCTATATGTTACAAGAATTTTATTAATGAATTTTGCATAAGGTGAAAGAGATTTATTATTCAAATTATTAATGCTGTCTTTCTTTTATTTGCCTGTATTGAACTCATTATTTTCACAATCATTAGTAAAAACTAAAAATTGATGTAGGAATTTTTTAAATCATTTTGCCCACATTTTTTTAATTCAAGAAACAAATTCAACTACAGGCTCATGGTTCCCTTAAGTATCTGCCATGCTAATGACAGTAAAGCTTTTTAAGTTAATCATTTCCAATTGTCAGACTTAAAAGTGAAGTTTGTCATTTTGCTTAAAAAATATCTGAGTAGTCATTAGTTGATTTAAAAGTTTAATGGATAAACTAATATTTTGTAAAATAGCCATTCTTTTGAATTCCAGTGATGACATGTAGGCCTAAGTTAAAAAAAATAATTTAATTTTGGCTTAAAATGTAAAAGTTAAATATCCATTATCAGCAAATAATAAATAATAACATTTTATGCTTCAGTTAAGAACAATAGGGGATAAGCTGACATGGAACTGCTTTTTGACTTCTTTTGGCTTTTCTTGAAGGCAGGCAATACTTAAAAACCTACCAGTATAGTCAGATAAAACAAAATTATAGTAAGTTCAAGTTAAACTTCCATGTAACATAGACAATAAGTACAACAGAAAAAATTATTAATGGATAAAAAAAGTAGAAAGTTGAAATATTTATGAAATATTTGAAATGCTATTCTTTTTTTTAAAATAATAACAATTTTGCAGTGCAACAACAGGCTAAAGTGCCTCTGAGTTTTATTATAATGTGCTAGCCTTCTATTATTAAAATTAAATAAAAGTTAAGTTGTTGATAAACACAACTTATCACTTGGAAAATTACCTTTTGCAAAGGTTTGCATACTGCTGATTTATTCATTATAAAATTTCATTCTTCTTCTTTTTTTTTATTATTCCATTATACTTTTTAGTTTTTGACAACACTTTAATTGTTTGATATATGGGGAAGTATATCAAATATTTCATATGCAAACCAAATTGTCTTATTATTATTTGTACAACAATTTCTAATTGTTCTCTTTACTTCATTGGGTTCTTTTTTGCCTTTACATGCATATCATTGTAACCCAGATTTTTATCATTGACAATAATGCTTGTGCAGAACTCAACTAAATTATGAGATGATGATAAAAAAAAAATCCAAACAAAAGACTGTCTGTGATCAAAAGAATGAAAGAGTTAATCACTTGTTTTCTGTATTTATTGTGTCATATTAAAAGTAGGTCAAATTCTTAGTATTCTGGCACTCTCACAAACACCCCACTCATCATAATAATATATTCATATTTAATAACTTAAGTTTCAAAACTTGAAATCATAAACCAAATCATAAACCAAGCAGCCAGATGGGTCAACTTTTTAATGTTTAAGTTTAGCATGATTCCTCTTAAATAAATGCAAAAACCTTTTTTTGTGTGTCTTAGTACGGTTATTGTTGCATATGATTAAATATCTGTGATTCCTACATCTGAAACAGGACCCATGCAAATTTCGTGTCACACTTCTTTACATGTGTTTTGTTTATGTTAAATAATAGTGGTCATAACTTTTGCCGTTATCTCAGTCAACACAAGTTGACTCAAAATTCAAGTCAGATTTATTTTATTGTTTCCTTCTATAAATTATTATATAAATATATATTTTAAATTTAAAATCATTTTCTTTTTAAGTGGAATTGTCAAAAAAATGGTGGTATATCACCTCTGCATCTCTCATTCCTGGCCTATGCACTACATCCTTTTTACAAAAAGGCATGATTAGTTTTGTTGAAAAGGGATGTAACTTATGTAAAAACAGTACCTCTACAATTAAAATACTTTCTTCACTCTTTAGAAAGTAATTTTATGTGAATTATAAAAATATAATTTTATTTTTTAAAGCAGTGATTATATATTTAAAATAACCAACAGTAAAACAACTCTTACCAACACTTTTGCCAGGTTTAAAAATTCTGATCTTTTTCTTAACTTTTTCAAAAATATACCAGTTAAATAAACTTACATTTAATGGTCTTGCAGTAATTCCTCTACTGAGATCTGCATTCATCAACTGGTGTGTTAGATTACCCAACTGGAATAATTAACACATTCTATATCTTCTCTGGTACTCTGCTGCAGTGTTTCCCAAACTTTTACGTTTTGAGGACCGGTTGATAAGTTTCCCACATAAGTCTATGAATTATTTTATTTGAACCTTAAACATGTCATAAAATAGTTTTGTTCCTTTTTGAGAGGACTCTATCAACAATTGCAATTCAATGCTAGTCCTTGGCAACTTTTTGTTATAGCTGTTTTAAGGTTTATGATCCAGTTTCTTGTCCAATGTACAGACTGGCAACAAAAGGATCACAGCAGACTCACCACTTTGGAAAATCCTGCTCTCCTTCATTTGATAAGTTATATTTTTTACAAAACATCACTTAAAAAATAACTCGTAACATGTAAAGTAATGAAAATTAGTGTTTGTGAAGGGGTGGATGATATTAAATATAATAAATTAAACACTATTACTTTTGTGTGATATGTGATAGGGCCATGAACCTTCTTGTTGATAAAATATTTTGTTGACAATATTTTTACCCAGATAGTTAATTTACATTATTGTTGTAATTTGTCACAATTTTTTTGGGGTAGGAAATCTAAAAAAAAATTTTTATGTGTTTCACACAAATAAAAAATCAACTAATGGATCAGTGCCAAGCCATCTCAAAGCACTTATGTCAGACATTTAACTTGTATCACAATCTTTCTTTGCTTATGTCTATGACACTGATAACAAAGTTATCGCAATACTTGTTGTTGTAATTTAATATCACATGTTAGAGGTAACAATTTTTGCAATATTTTTTTTTTTTAAAATCTTTCTTCACTCTAAATGACAGAATAAATCAGTTTTCTCTTAATTTTTTAAAATAGAAATGCATATTTGCTACAACATGTTACCGCAGGTAGATTGTGTTTTAATATGCTTTCAGATTTGTGTCGTTAAGTGGTGGTGAAAAAAAAATGTATACTATCATCTAATATTATTTCGGGGCTTGAATAAGTTATGAATTTTAAAGTGACAGAGAGGGGTTTGTTTGAAGGAATCCACATATTTATAGTTGAAATTAAAAAAAAACTATTTTCCAGTGTTAATAATTGGCATATATGCTAAAGAGCATATATTACTTGAAATATTTTTTTCCACGGATATTAAAGGTACAGATTAATTTATTTTATTTTTAAACAAAATTGTGCAATAGTTTTAAAAGGAAGAAAAAATCAACACATGTATGTAATCAAATGTGTTTTGTGTATTGCCTGTGATACCCTCTGATCTGTCAGTGAAAATTAAAGTAATTTATTTATAAGTATTTTGTTACTGTACTGGATTTGTTAAAATGTTGCACCTGTGTAAGACAGCTTTTCTAGATGCTGGACTAATTTTGAAATGGCCATTTTGAAAGCTAGGTAAAACAATATTTTTTTAATGTTATTATTAACAATCATTAATTCTTTAACATTAATAAGGTTAATAATGGTAATAACATTAAAATAGGTTCATTAATTCCACACAAGTACTATATATTAATTATTTCAAAGAATGTTGCAAAATCTGGAAAGAAAAAGAAGACAATTTTAAAAAATTAGGGGAGGTAATACTCAAATTTTATTCTCACTGTACAAACCACTCCTGTGGTGGATTCAAAATAAAAATGTGACATTTACAGACATAGACTATTGTTGGAAGTGCTGAAATTTTAATATCAATATTTTGTTACTAAGATGTCTATCCTACCTAAATATGATTTAAATAAATTATTACTTATACTTGTGTCTGCTCACCAAAATAAGGACAAGAGTTGTCTTAAGACATAGTTGCAAATCAATAATTAATATTACACAGATGACTGAGGTAAAAATTTCTTTAAAAAAATAATAAAACACTCTATTGGCTGTGTAATTTACAAACCTGTGCACTTATTTCAGTTTGCATGCATGTAGCAGGACATTATGGAGTTATTTCTAACACAAACTTTAAAATTATGGGCGAAAAAAAAATAATGCAGCTTGCTATCAACAAATATGATATAATCATATACAGATTTGTAAAACTAAAATCTAAAATGCTTTGACATTTAAAGCAGAGAGTTTTATTTGTACTGATTATTCTATACTCCAAAAGGCACCTAACCAATAAGTTGTTTTTTTCAAGTAATGCTAATATCCGATCATCCTACTCATCTTATTAATAGTTCAAAAAATTAAGCTCTAAAAAAATGTTAACACTTACATAAATTAATAAGTGACACAGCTTTACAAACTAAAATAAGACTTAGAGTGGGTAGTAAGAATGAAATTAATTAAAGGTTATAAACTTATCATACGAATATCAGGCTAGAGGAAAACAATATTAAATAAACTCATCATGAAATATTATATGCACCTAACATCTTTAATGGAACTCAATTTATTTTTTATATAAACAAGTTGCAGTGTATGTATCATGTTTTATATTAGAATCTATTTTACATTTACATAGTATGTCTGTATGTAGAGCAATATTCATTCAATATCAAGGACAATAGCATTTTTTTTTTTTTTTACAAACTATACAATCCCACCATCTCTTGAAACATTTTGCCACTAGGATATTAAATGACTGACCATTAGAGAAGTTCTTGGGAATGTAAAAGTTTTTCTCTACACTTCTATTTACAATTCGTTGGGCATTTTTACACCTAAGCATTAAATTATCACAAGTAAGAGCTAGGTAACTGCAAGTTAAACGTAAATACCTATTTCGACTATGTTGCACACAATGCCACCCAGCCTACTATTCATAAAATTAATTCACTACATATTTATATCACTACACCTTTGTATCACAGAGCAAGCATGTTTTACATGTAGAAATTGTATATCCAATACTAATTTAAAATGAAAAGCATCAAAGAATCTCAATTGATGACTTTCTGGATTGAAAGGAGTCAAATCTACTAACTAATTTAATCTTTCTTAACTGTGAATAGAATTAATTAATAAGGATACTCTTATTTGAAACTTGAAATGGCAGCTTCATAAAAAGAAATATTTTTAGTATTTTCATAAAAATGTTTTTAGAGATATATTTATGAAATGATAAAACAAAATAATGAGATTCTTCAATTGTTAATTAATGTTCAGTGATGCAACTTCTTGAAGCCTAAGGTCACAACTTTATTTCCAAAAGCAAAACAGCTTTGGTTACAATTGGGTAGGCTTCTATGATATATTGTGATATGCTACAATCATTTATTTTGTTAGGATAAAATTAAAGATAATTGCACTTCAAAATATTTAAAATTTTAAAAAATCAATATGGCACAAGTTGAGGATTGGAAGAACTAATGATCATAAATAAATACATCAATATAACAAAAGATGAAATAAAAAAATTTAAATTGCACTATATAGTTAGTGACCTAAAAAAAGATGATAACTAATATTATAAACTTTTTTGCTCATTCAGAACAGCATCAACATCATCACTTTCATTTTGCATATTCATTTATTTAAATTACCTGAGATTATTATTTACAAGCATCACAAATTTATATCTTAAGAATTTGGAGTAATTAAGTAACAGAAATAACTGTTATAAAATGCCTGCATGTAACAATGAAAAGCAACTGTGAATACTTCATAAAACATAATTTTAAGTTCAAATTAAAACTGTCACTGGAACAATTAACTCTCAAAACATTAACTTGTTGTTTAACTTCTTATATAATCCCTGATAGTAATTTTAAGCAGTCTTTTTGAAATTTAGGATTTCACATCCATCCTATTCAAAATGAAAAGATTGCACATCCCCGAAGGTGAATAATTCAGAACTCTTCATGTCCAGGACTGGCATAATCTTTTTGGCTGATTCGCCGATAGAGTCTTCTTTTCTCTAACTGATAGGCTGAACAAAGAATTTTAGGCATTGCAGTCCATTGAGTGTTCTGAATACAACTTTTGATAGTAAGGTAAACTTTCTGCAACTTTCTCCAGCCTTTATTTTCTTCTTTTAGTGTAAGATAAATTTCAAAGGTTGGTGGTGTTGATGGGTTTCCGAAAATGGTTGCTATTTTTCTAGGTTTATTCTTTTCATCTAGCAAAATGTATATGGCGCAGCCACGTACACCACAAGGTTCCGCCATCGACATACGAAGAACGTCTTGAGAGACACGTGACATCAAGTCAGAGGGAAAAATAATTTTGCATTTACTTTCTTTCTCACAGGATTCAGTGATTGCTGCTTCTATTTCCTTCTGAATTGAGTGACAGGTTTGATACTCAATAGAATCTTGGAAATCTCCATAGCTGTTCATATTTGGGTTCTTTTCATCTGTAAATAGTAAAAATAGTTGCCACTTAAAAATTTGATGTATGTATATATTTTACTATTGTCAATAACAACATTATGAAATTATTTTTTTTTTTTAAACTTTTTTTTTTTTATAAACATTTACAGAAATATTTTTTTATCTTTTTTAAAAGCAACTTTTATTAAAGCTAAGGATATGAGTCATTTCATAATTCTGAAAAAAGTCATTTTGAAAGTTTTAAATTTAAAATTGAGCATATTAATATTTATTTTAAATGTTAACATGTCTTTACTTCTGCCAGTTGTCAAGATAATAGAGTTTACTGTATTCAGGCCTAATTGTTAAGGCAGGATTAAAATATATTTAATTAAATAGAACTATTTAAATTTGAAAAAGTCCAATGACAATGACAACAATTTTAGGGATGAAGCATTATGGCATAATATGGCCATTTTAGTATTAGTATTAGTTTAGCTCTAAAAGTTTTTCTAATATTATAAATTATAGAACAGGTATAATATTAGTAAAAGTATTTCTCTATTTTAATTTTAGCTTTACTTTTTAGAAACGTGAAAGGCAAATAAATGTCAATAATATTTATAATTTGAATTATTTTCTTTGTCAATAGTCCTGAGTGGTAGATAGTAGATACTTTAGTTTTAATTTTAGCTACCTGCTACCAATCAACTAGGATAGGCCATAGTAGTGACAGTGAGAAACGTAACAAAAAACTGTATTTTACAGAATATTATTTAAGGAAAAAGTAGATCTAATTATTATTAAAAATGTTAATATTATTATTATTTAATTTTAATTATTTATGAAATACCTAAAAAAGTATTAAATTGTAATTTATAAATAATAATTTGTTTATTACAAAGAATAATCATTAATTAATGTGACAATGATGACTCTACTCTAATTCTAATGACTTCTAGCTTTACATTTTTATTTAAATTTATTACGTTCACATTTTCATTAAGTTCATACATTCACACTGAATAAAAAATTAACTGTCTTACTCATAAACTATTCTTATTCACTCGCGCATTATTTGACTCATAATCTATTCTTAGCAGCATAACACAAGCAATAGTAATAGTCAATCAATAAATCAATAGCAGACAAAAAATTTAAATTTATAACAGTAAGTGTAGTAAATAACGGCGAAGTCCAATAAATCTACGTACCCAATTTAGCGTAGTGTTTTTCGTGTTCAAAATCTGTTTCTATGATCAATGAATAATCAGGTTCTGATTTGGTACCGATAAGTAAAGATTTCATTGCAGATTTCAGTCGGCTTGTCAATGTTCCAACGTCTAGCATTCTTATGATTCTAACTTCTTGTAACCCGGTCAGCTGATTACAACAAATGCGGAAATGCTTTGTGGGTGTGTTTGAATATCTGATGTCACAGTCACAGCGCAGAACAATAAAATACCATGATGATTAACTGCTGCTAAGCAACAGCTAAGGAAAACAAAATTGGCTAAATGGGTGCCCACTGGCGCTCCTGTAAAGCTTTTATACGTTTTCGTCCGTAGTGCGGTGGATGTCAAGCCCGAAACAGCTGATAAGTGTCACAGCTCAGTTCATTTGCATCCTGCACTTCGTTTCGAGGTCAAACCCCGTTCTAAATTTGAAGCGATAGCCAATGAAATCGCGACTTTCTCCCTTCAATGTTCACTGCGTTAAATTTACGTTTATTAAAAACATAATTAAAAAAAACTTTTAGAATTTTTTTTGCCGAAAAGTTGTTTCTTCAGGACTCAATTATGCTTAGTAATATCCCGCGCAATCATGGTTAAAAACAGTGAGTTTCATACGAAGTTTCTTTTATTAATGGTACTATTGACATTGAGTAGTTTACTCCATGAAAATTAACTTTAATTTTAAATTTTTTTTTTTTTTTTAAATTTTTAATGTCAATTTATGTCTATAACTGTAATTTATTTGCGACATCTACAAATTAACACGTTAAAAATATGAAAAGGTTTACTGCCTATCATTTTAACTGACATGAAATGCACCTAGATTCTAGATCGACTAGAGCCAGATCAGAAGCTGGCAACCTGAAACACCGAAGTCGCATGCGGCTTTTTGAATGAACGCGGCTTGTATAATAATATTATTAATTAAATAATTAATGCCATTTACAACTATTCGCACCTGCACGCGGCTCGCAACATGTTTTCTTTTCAGATATAATTTATAACAAATGTTTTCCTACGCTGGCCTATATATTAATTAGTGTATGTTCGAAAGAGAAAAAGTTGATTTATTGCCTTAAAGTGGTTATAGTGACATATAAGTTGATCTCCTCTGGAGTAAAAGGGGAACTGTAACTATATGCCATATAAAACTATATTTTGACTTTACGTAGCATATGTTCAGTTCCTCCATCCGATTAGGCTGGTGTGTTGGAACTTGGTACAATGGTGTTTACCTCTGAGTACACAACTACTACAAGTGGATAGTACCCCTGAACGCACAACTACTGTTGAACTACTCTGGGTGGATTTTACGGCTTGGCATTGGGGCAGTTGCCAAGGGCGCCGGCCTGCGCCAGTTCAAAAGGGTGCCGTAAAATCTCTAATTTTTTTATTTTTATTTAAACAAAAGGGCGCCAAAAATAAATTAGCCAAGGGCGTCAAAAACCCAGTTATGCTCCTGGGATTGTACCTCATAAAGACTTTCCTCTTGCTTCAAATGACCTCACGCATAAAAAAGGGAGGGGGGGGTGGAGTTAGACTTTGTGACAAGGTGTTATGAGGGTGTCCTAAAAATTGTAACAAATTTGTGACGGTGGGTAGAAGGGGGGGGGGGTAAAAACCCGCCCCCCAAAAATCGTAACTTCATTTATTGGATGGCCCCCCTTAAAAGGGGCCACCACTCTCTACAGCTCTCTAATGTGCTGCGCGGCAACTCGAAGCAGAAAAACCCCGGCACGATTGTAATGGCATAAGAGCGATTGACCAAGGACAGATGTTCAGGTGACCTAAATAACGCAACAGCTGATTCGGCTACTCTCTCACACTTGGCCGTAAACACGTTGTAGTGTTCTTCTCTCCCCTGCTGGACTTTAATCTCTATTCTCAAAACGTGCATTTCGCGTAACATTTGGATCATTAACAATTACCAAAATTAATTTTTTGAAGTATATGGTCCATCTATGTCCTGTGTTGAGGTGGGTGGTGTAAAGTGAGTGACGTCCCATGTTGATGATCCAAAGTGAGTGATGTCACATGTTGAAGTTGGTTGTCCAAAGTGAGTGATGTCACACGTTGAAGTTGGTTGTCCAAGGAGACTGATGTCAAATGTTGAAGTTGGTTGTCCAAAGTGAGTGATGTCATATTTTGAAGTTGGTTGTCCAAGGTGAGTGATGTCAGATATTGAAGTTGAAGGTCCAAAGTGAGTGATGTCACATGCTGAAGTAGGTGGTCCAAAGTGGGTAACGTCGCATGTTGAAGTAGGTGGTCCAAAGTGAGTGATGTCGCATGTTGAAGTAGGTTGTCCAAAGTGGGTAACGTCACATGCTGAAGTAGGTGGTCCAAAGTGAGTGATGTCACATGCTGAAGTGGGTGGTCCAAAGTGGGTGATGTCACATGCTGAAGTAGGTGGTCCAAAGTGAGTGATGTCACATGCTGAAGTGGGTGGTCCAAAGTGAGTGATGTCACATGCTGAAGTGGGTGGTCCAAAGTGGGTGATGTCACATGCTGAAGTAGGTGGTCCAAAGTGGGTGAGGTCACATGCTGAAGTAGGTGGTCCAAAAATTAATAAATTCTTTACTTGCTTACAACCTCACAAACACACTCTTACAACACACACACACACTACACACACATTTGCTGAATTGGCTAAGATTGCCTCGCAACAAATTGTCTTTGTTTGAAACGGAAATCCCCGGTGACAGCGCCAGAACCGCTGTTAAATCCAAAGGAAGTGAAGGGAAACAAAATAACGGTTAAACCAAAAAATGTGTTGACGTGCCAAGCCATAAGTCCAAGGTCGACAACTCCGTGTCCATATCATGTTTATAGAAGCTGATATGTTTAAAGATCGCTGTGCAGTTATCAAGCCACCACATGGCTTATCTGTGGAGTGGACTGTCCTGTATGTGTTTATTTGTTCAATTTATTGGGATGTATTACCTTTAAAAAAAAAAGAAAAAATTAAAAAAAAAAAAAAAAACACCAAAAAAAAAAAAAAAAAAAAAAAAAAAAAAAAAATAATTACACAATATCGTGAAATTGTTAAGTTTGTCATCTTGGTGGCATTTTGTATTGATAATGACTTTGTTTTGTTTTCTTTTTGCTTTTTGTTTTTTTTTTTTTTTTTACGACAGAGACTCTGCAGTACGAGGTACATGGACGCTGGTTTAACGATCACAAAGAAAACATCACGTCACAGCTACGACGGTAGATCGACGTCACGGCTACGACGGTAGATCGACGTCACAGCTACGACGGTAGATCGACGTCACAGCTGCGACGGTAGATCGACGTCACAGCTTCGACGGTAGATCGACGTCACAGCTACGACGGTAGATCGACGTCACAGCTGCGACGGTAGATCGACGTCACAGCTGCGACGGTAGATCGACGTCACAGCTTCGACGGTAGATCGACGTCACAGCTTCGACGGTAGATCGACGTCACAGCTACGACGGTAGACGACGTCACATCTACGACGGTAGATCGACGTCACAGCTATAACGGTAGATCGACGTCACAGCTACAACGGTAGATCGACGTCACAGCTACAATGGTAGATCGAGTAAAAACACACACACACACACACACAGAAAAACGTGTACATGTTGTACAAAACTTGACATTTGACATTTCGGATTGAATGACACACTGGTCGTCTCGCCTTAACACTGCTAAGATGCTAATTAAGATCATGGTCGGATGAGAGGCGCTGATTTTCTTGCCGCTCGCTTCCACACACACACATACACAAAATGAAGTTTTCCGAAAATGCCTCCCCCCCCCACCCATATAAAGAAAAAAATTATCTCAGGGGGCAGACCCCCCTCCTCACGCCCCCCCTACGCCATTAGATCGGATAGAACAGAGTTTCGCCCATACATTTTCAGTTTGGCGGACCGGTCGACATGTTTCGAAACTGCCCCAGGGACCACCACTAGATTTATTAGCTATTATTTTTATATATATTTGACCAAACATCATCATGTTGTGCGGACCGGCATCGTAAGATTCGTCGACTGGTGGCCGGTCCGCGGACCACCATTCGGGGAACGCTGGGCTAGAGGACCTTATAGAAGCCCCTAGACCCATTGCCAGCCAAAGACCATAGTATATTTAACAGTGCTGCCCTTGAAAAGCAGACGATGCTATGGGGTACGTCCACATTTTTTTTTTTAAAACAGGGTAAGCTTGCCCTACGCTGCCGGCCTACTTTGACCAAGTTGGGTTGGTTCCAAAACCATGTTGGTTGTTCCATAAACTTGCGTCCAGTAAGTTAAGTAGGGTTATTCAAAACAGACCCAATAATATTAGTTCTTAAATTGACATATATACTTTTACGCTGAATAGTTTGTCTCGTCTCAATTCACGGTGACGTCATTCGATCCAACGTTGACGTAGTCAAACCATGACAACCGAAACTGATATGAAAGCGGAAACTGTATGCACCAGCACATTATAGTCTTTTCTCTCCGAAAATAAACGTGTGTTTTTTTGTTTTTTTCCTTCATGAATGTAGGCCTCCCTCATAGAGATCCCCTCCTTTTTTTCCCGGGGACCCCCTTGGGCTTAAAGAGACTGAACACACCTTCACTAATTACAGACAGTGGCGTAGCGTGGGTGTTTGGCGCCCGGGGGCAAGATTCGCGCCCGGGGACAAGATCCATTTTAAAGCGCCCCTTTTTCTTTTTTTCAACTCTCAAGCCCATTATTTTCATCTAAAAATAATATTTTGGCGCCCCTAACTAACTAACTAACACCTGCCCCCCCCCTCACTACGCCTCTAATTACAGCGCACTCATTGTGGTTATAGAAAATATTATCTTAAATCAAATACAGATTAAAATAGACGCATGTAATTATACTGACAATTACAAGGTGCATGTCCAAGATTGAATTCATCAAGTGCCCGTGTTTGTCTGACATGTTGCCTAAGCGTCAGTTCACAAGATCAAATTCCTCAAAGGGGCTTCAAATTTGCGTCAAATGTTTGTATAAACGCACTATTTTGTGCGTCGTTTCATTTTTTAAATTTTTTTTTTTTTTGTTTGGGGGGTTTTTTTTTTTTTATTTTTTTTTTTTTGGGTGGGGGGGGGGGGGGGGGAATGAAAATTTGATCAACTAATAATTTGAAAGGTGTGACAAGGCTTCACACACAAAAATCGCAATTAATGTATGAACGAAAATTTGAAAGGAATCCTATCTTATAGGAACTGAGTCTAAATCGAGTACGTCTTTTCTATCACTTCTAACCAGCTTACCTTGTTTGTGAGCTCTTGGAACTGGAACAGATGCAGCGCTCTTAAATTCATTGTTTGCGGGAAATTAAAAATTAAAATGAAACGTAAATCAGATGACGGTAGTGAGTAAGCCAGGCGTTGTTTTAACAGCCAAGGA